GGTCGGGCCCCAAGGCCCCACACAGTTGTACCGGGGAGGCCCATGGGTCTTTGGCACCAGCGCTCCCTGTCCCGCTCCGGAGTGAATCCAGCCCAGCCAGCCCCTTGCGGGAGGCTTTCCGAGTGTACAGACAACCACACCGGCCGCCTTCGCCGAACAAGGAGCCATTGATAGGTCACCTGGCCAAGCTGCTGCCCTCAAGGGCCAGCCAAGCTGAGGCTGCTCCAGGCCTTGGCTCCCTCCTTCCCCCAGTCTGTCCAGGGGAGGGCTCCAAATCCCACCCAAGGGCAGCCCTTCTCCCTGTCACCCAACCCCTTCCCATGTCCTGCCTGGGCCTGGGGCGTTGGGCGTTGGTTTCTGGCTGGAGTTCCCCTGGATTTTCAGCCTGGTCTGTAAAGGCCCAGTCAGCCGCTGACACCTGCCCCCACACAGCTCTTGTTCTGCCCTGGGAGCAGGCCTGGACTAGGTCTACACGGAACCCACTGCAGCGACTCCCCACCACTGTGGTAAACCCCCCCCCCCCCCCGCCCAAGAGGCAGTGTCTGCATGGGGACACGGGGCAGCCCAGCTACAGAGAGCACAGGGAGGGACCAGCTGAGTTCTTTCCCCCCACGGGGTCACCATGGAGGGTGAAGGAGGAAACCGAGGCAGGCATGGGAATCATATGTTACAGACGCTGCCCGAGACCCAACACCCCAGCAGGGACTGGTGCGGGACACCTCTGTCCCGCTTGGCTGGACTCCCCTGGGCTCCAGAGTCCTGCCAGATGCCACCACCCCCTGGCACATTCACCCCCTCCTTTAAAGATTAACCACTTCACGCTCCCACCCCGCGCAGGAGCAGCCTGGGAACAGGCTGGAGCCCCTTTCTGCTCTGGAATCCAGCACGCCTGGGCTCTCCACCATGACCTTGTGCCTCAGTTTCCCACCCCACCTCTAGACTGTAAACTCCGGGTCTCTCACCGGCTCCCCTTGCCTCCGAACTCCCTCAGTCCTTGGCCTGGGAACCCTTTCCCCTGAGGCATTTGGCTGGTGCCGTCCCGCAGCCATGGAGCTGGATCGGTCAGCTCTGCCAGCGTCACCCCACAACTGCCCCGGGCAGAGAGGGGAGCGGGGCCAGCTCCAGAGTTGAGCCAGCGCTTCCCACGCCCGTAGGATTGTGTAAGAGAAGCACCCAGAGGCTGGACTCTGCACTGCGCCAGGTGTGACCCAGACCCCGCCTCAGCCACCACCCGACAGCTCCCGGCACACCAGGGCCCTGAGCTCCACAACCCCCCCTGCCCCTCTCCCAGCATTGGGTGAGGCCCATTATAATGCGCAGACCCATCCCCAAAGAGCCTCCAATCCAGACAAGGCAGGAGGAGAAACTGAGGCACAGAGTGAGGCTGCCATTGACCCAGGGTCACCCAACAACTCACCCCCCACACACTCTTCCCAGCCCCTTACCTTGGCCTGGCCAATCTCAAACTTCTCCTCCGGCGGGTAGATGACCGGGGTCTCTGGGCGGCTGGTCCGGATGAAGCAGATGCCCTAGGGAGCAGAGGTGGCGGCAGAGGAGCCAGGCAAGGCAGGTCACAGGCAGGCTTAGAGCTTGGTGCCAACAGGCAGCTGACCCCCAGCCACAGGTGGGGCTCTGTGATCCCACACACATTCGGGCAGGTCTCCCAGGACCCTGGGCTCACCCTGCTCCCATAGATTAGAGGGCAGGGGGGTAACAGACCTGGACTGGGTGACCCAGGAGAGCTTCCAGGCCGAGCTATCGACAGCTGCCCCCCCAAACACATGCAACACCCCACCCAGGACAGCTGCAGGATTCCCAGCTTACCACCACGCCGTCAAGTGACCGGCAAAGTGATGCTACAAGGGGAGGAAATCCAAGGTCGCACGGGTCCGATGATAGAACCCAGGAGTCCTGGCTCCCAGCCCCCCCTGCTCTGACCCACCAGCCCCCCTCCCCTCCCCGAGCCAGGGAGAGAACCCAGGAGTCCTGGCTCCCAGCGCCCCCTGCTCTGACCCACCAGCCCCCCTCCCCTCCCCGAGCCAGGGAGAGAACCCAGGAGTCCTGGCTCCCAGCCCCCCCTGCTCTGACCCACCAGCCCCCCCTCCCCTCCC